CACACACACACACACACACACACACACACACACACACACACACACACACACACACACACACACACACACAGGTTTGTTTTAATATCCCTGTGGGGACCATGAATTGACTTCCATTCCTTTTTTGGTAATTCTACAGCCTAACCCTGACTATTTATCCCAAAACTCACCTCACAGGTACCTACCTGACCCTAACACTAACCTCACAGGTACCTACCTGACCCTAACACTAACCTCACAGGTACCTACCTGACCCTAACACTAACCTAAACTCAATTCACACCTTGGTCCTAAACCCCACCCAAAATTAGCATCCGTCCCCGTCCCTTCGAGGCTGTCTTTTTCTGGAAAATGGTTCCTACGATGTAGTAAAAACATGCCCACACACACGCACGCACGCACACACACGCCCGCCCCCTCTTCAGACAATCCAATTTTCCTGCTGTCAGAAGTCTGAGAGATGCAGTTTGAAACAGTGTGGATGTAATTTCCCTGCAGAGCTGGAGCTGCTTTGTGCTGTGGGGAAACATTAGGATCAAAACCTCTGAGCTGGAGGTGGAGATGCCTCAGCAGGCACATGTCACATTTATTAACGGCAGTCTGAAGCCTTGGTCTCTTCAGCAGGGAGAAATTATTTGTAGTTTTGGATTGATATCATCAAAATGTAGATCATTTACTGAATATTCACTTTGATGCATACCTGAGTTTTTATTCTATATTCACACATTTTGCCGTACTTTGTATTCAGTCGAGATTTTGTTTCAATGTTTTAAGGTTTCAAATAGTGTGTTTTAAAAAATAAATGTTATAAGGATGATTTTACCCATTGAACTGTTCTTTTAAACATCTTCTGATGTTCTTGTATTAATGTTTGATAATTCAGTATGTCTCAAATGAAATGGAAAAGAAAATAACTTGAAGTTAAATTAAATCATGTAATATTCCTTTTGTGCAGTTTTAGTAAAGGAGGCAGAAAAACACACAACTAACAGTATAAGACACGCAAAAAGATACAGTTTGATGAAAACAAGTATTGAAGTTCACAATGCATTGCCAGCAGTTAGGGTAGAAAAAATGTCAATTTGTTGCAAGTTTGTGTATTTTCGAATAACTCAAACTAATTTTTATGAGCAAAATTGGTGGTTAACTCTTTAAAAGTCTAGTTCAGATGTTTTAAAGTGAGATTCTATGAAACAATTCATGTTTTACACTTTGCAGACCTCAAATGTGTTTTCTTTGTCATTAATTTCTTTGTCATTAATTGGGTGTAGATGATGCGTGTCTGTGCATCTTGTTGCAGACAGTGATGGAGTTCYGTCACCCGGACGGGCGTGTCGTCGCTGTGACGTTGCCAGGCCGGAGCCTGCTGGTGATGAAGGGAGAGAGCAGATACCTCTGGACACACGGGTGAGCCACGTCGCGCCAGACTGACGCATTTCCTGAAATATCTGCCATTTTTTCATCACTGAGCCCTTTTTTTCAGCCTACAGTCTCTTTACATGTTTAAAAATGAAGCTGGTGGTTATTTGCYCTGTATGTATGAGTACTCTTACTCTCTCTGTCAGGATTACGCCTCGAAAGTTTGACTTGGTGCCAGCATGCGAGCCACAGTCTCACACTTCAGCTGACGTCGGAGCCCAGAGAGGTCTCACTTTGAGTAAGAGGGGCACCCGCATTTCTTTCACTTTCCGCAAGATCCGACATGAACCGTGCCGCTGTGGTAAGGATGTCGTATATTCTGCTTTCCTGTTTTTATCAGAGTATGTTTTTGGTAAACTTGACTCTACTTCACAATCTATCTTGTCTAAAATCTCCCATTAGGTTCTAAAAGTGAAAAGTTTTGTAAGTTTTGTACTTAAGCGTTAGCCCCGATGCTATCACCATGTATATGTATTAGCTCAGCGCTACACATTCTCCTCTCGTCACTGAGGTCCTCCATCCACATGACAGAGAGGGGAACACAAAAATGACTCAGTCTGCCACTGAAAATATGGATGGAGGACCTCAGTTTAGCTTGTTTGTCGCGCTAGCGCATAGCTAATACACATAAGGCAATATAGCATTGGTGCTAGCGCAAAGGCTAACAGGCTAAGCTGAGGTTCTTCTTCCATGAAGCAGCTCTGTTGTCCTCCATCCATATTTTCAGTTHCAGRCTGAGTCATTTCTACCTTCTCCTCTCTGTCAACGCTCTCTGTTTTCATTTAAAAGAGTCGATCATCAGATATTGTCCAAGATTAACCTTCAGGGTGGAKATAGCTCGCTCACACCGAGGACCTATCCACATCATCATTTACCCAGAATGCTTTGTGTGTAAATAAAATGGCTCTTTCAGTGTTAAAATATATTTTTAAAAATTTGCAAAACTAAACTGCCTACAGTATGTTTACAGCCTTTATTTTACAGTTAAAAAATATGTTTATCAAATAAAGTCTAATGTTACAACTAATCAGGGATCCCTTTAAAGAAGTCGTTACTATTTTAAAATAAATGTTTAATCATCTCACCTCCAGCTGAATAATTGTCTCCCCATGTGGTCACCTCCAGCCTTCCGCTCTGCCTGCGACAGTCAGCGAACAGCCTCGCCCTCGCCACCGGCTGCCCCGTCCCTTCCCAGTTGCCCCGCCGACGCGGCCCGCTTGGAGGAGGAGTACGTGCACCGGGTGTATGACGCCATCGCCCCCCACTTCAGCAGCACTCGCCACACTCCCTGGCCTCGCGTTTGCCACTTCCTGACCTCGCTCGCACCTGGCAGCACGCTAGCCGACGTGGGCTGCGGAAATGGGAAGTACCTGGGCGTGAACTCCCAGCTGGTCGCAGTGAGTGTCGTCGAATGGTGACCGCCGATTAGATTAGGTTAGATTAGATTAGATAGACCTTTATTTTCATTGTACAAAGCAGAATGAAATTACAATTCAGAACACYCGTTCAGAAGAAGACAGAGCATAACAAACATGGGGGAACAGGTGCTCTGGGTCATGTAGCCACAGACCCTGCACAGAGCAAGGATCATCTTCATGAAGACATCATGAGGAGGCGCAACCCTTAAAAGAAATCTAAAAACCAGATAAGGGAAGATGAGGAAAACAAAACAAAACAAAACATCATATTACTGTATATCAACAATGTGACACACTATTGTTTATAAAAAGAAAAACTCTGCATAGAGCACATTTATTACCCAGAGGATAAATCTGTGATACTTCAGTGTTGCCTTCTGTCAGCTAAACAGTTTTTCATGTGCAGAAACATCATTATCAAATTAGAGGCAACAGAAGCAGTGAATGATTCATTTCAGCTCAACTGGAACTTCCTTCCCAGCTGAGCGTTACGAGCCTAAATTGACCAGTAACACAAATTTCCCCAATTTTTGCTGGGGTTACGCTCTTAGAGTACTAACGAGTTGATAAATAACAGAAATATTGGATGCGCTCCAGAAATGCCCTACAGCACATTTGAGGTGATGCAGTAAGAACCATACAAAAAACCATGATACTGTTAGGAGGTGGAAATTCTGCACTCTGGTAGAAAAAGGAAATTGACGTTCCTTACGGTACTTTATTTCAGTTTCCACAATATCATACGGATTACAGCAAATTACCAGTATTGGTTAAAAGAAATTGCAAAAAACCAGTGTTGTATAAAGTACCACAAAGTGATCCTTGAGTAAAAGTACAAGTATCTTACCAAAAAATTACTTTGCTAGAAGTTGAAGTCTCCTTTAGGAATTTTACCAAAAGAATTCAGAAATGACTATATTGTATTAAAATAATTAATTAAGTTAAATTTAGGATGCGCTAGCTGTTTCAGTTTATATATCAAGGGTGACCAAACATTTTCTCCAAAATAAAAGTCTATCTGAGGGCTGCTGCCAAATGCAATAAGGGGTGCACCGATTGCAGTTTTCTTGCCGATCTCCGATTTCCGATCTTTAAAAAGTCTGACCTGCCGATTCCGATTTTGTCCGATACCGATTTACAACCAACGCAGTCAGGTGTTATAAGATCACAATACGTCTTCAATGTTCCARTCTTATTTTATTGAAAAATATTGAACAATACCCTTGAAACAATACAAACTGGGTCCTGGTTCCTGTCGATGGGAACCTCAGATAAGTAGCTCTGTACCTGCATGGCTGAAGGGCTGGCCAGCTGTTGCTCCTTATCTATGTTCTCCTGCAGGATTTCATTGTGTACTGCAAACAGTAGACTGAACCTTTTGGCTGTAGGGGCATCTGTGTCAGGAGGTCCCAGTTCAGCTGATGATCCTCCAACAGGTTCTTCATCCACAGGTGTGCATCTGGTCTCCCTCTCTTTTGGCCAAAAGGAGCTGTTTCACCTCATCTCTCACCTGTGCTGAGAAGTAGCCATTCTTGTACCTTGTTTTGCGTAAAGAAATAAAAATGTGTCAATCACTGTGTTTTATAAACATCAYACATTTTTATGACCTGCATGTAAAAAAAACATTTTGATAAAATACAAATTTTAATTTAAATGTTCACAGAAATATAGTTGTAGGTTAAAAGTCATTTTGTGTAGAACAGGGGTGTCCAAACTTTTTTTTAGTGAGGGCCAAATACAGAAAAATAAACAAACATCTTATTTCTCATCTTAGAAGTAAAAAGTAGGCTGAAAAATAATTACTCAAGTAAAGTACAGGTACCCAAAAATTCTACTTAAGTACAGTAACAAAGTATTTGTACTTAGTTACTTTACAACTCTGCAAAAGACTTGAGTCTGCAAACTGAAATGCAACTTTGTGGGGTTTCACTGTACACCAGAGCCAATCAATATTATCAAACATAAAGATGTCTGTAACATAATCAGTTTTACACATATTGAGCTAAAATTTAGTGTGGTAGTAGCCGAGTGTCACTCCCAGCTCATCCTCTGAGCTCTGAATCCTGGGCCTTTAATTGCATGTTCATTTGGCAGTTAGTTGCAGATCTGTTCCTCTTCCTTGTTTTGTGGTCCATGCGTGTCAGTTTGCAGCTGCTCCGGTTCTACAGGAACAACAGAACTCGTAAAGACAAAATGCAGGGATCAGTTGGTGGGAAAGCGAGATCCACGTTCCTTTTTTATTTATTTTTTCCTGCTGGATGTCATCGTTTGCTTTTGCTCCGTTTCCATGGCAGCATCCTCATTTTCTGTTTACGTATGCGCACCGGGATGTTCCTGTTTGGGCTTTTGGAGATGCGTGTAAGCAGCTTATCCTGACTCAGACCGTAGCTGCGATAAATCATCTCTGACAGCGCTGTGATTATGCGGGTCACACGCCAGTTTTCTGAGATTTATGCTGCTTTTCTTTCCTGTTTCCTCCCCACCCTGGTTTCTGTTCTTCTGCTCTTTAATCCTCGTTCCTCGCAGTGTCCCTCTCCTCCACCTCTGGCTGTGATATTAGCATCTGTCTTTTTTTGTGTTTCCTGTGCTTATTTACATTTTCAAGCTCAGTGTCCTCCAGCTCTTCTTGTGTTTGTCTGATCTCAGGTGGGATGTGATCGCAGCAGCACTCTTGTCCAGATCTGTGCAGAGAGGGGTTTCCATGCGTTTGTATCAGATGCTCTCAATGTCCCCCTTCGAACTGCCTCTTGTGATGCCTGCATCTCCATCGCTGTCATACACCATTTCTCCACACAGGTATGCACAATACAAGTTAAGCTTAAAAACTAACTAAAAGCGGAGAGGCTTCAGATTTAGTTTATTGCTTTATTACTGAAAATAACTTAAAGTCAGTTTAGAGTTGTGATTCTAAAGCAGGGTTTTCTCAACCTTTTGAAAATTTAAAATACAACAAAAACTAATACAAATAAAGTTTGTTTCACAGACTGTTTTGTGGAGGTTTATTTATCAGTAAGATGAGTTTATATATATCTGTGTTACAGGAACGACGGCTGGCAGCAGTGAGAGAGCTGGTGAGACTTGTGAAGAGTGGAGGTCAGGTGCTCATCTACGTTTGGGCTTTTGAACAAGAGTACAACAAGCAGAAGTCCAAATACCTCAAAGGCCACTACAAGGGTCATGACGGAGACCACGCCCTCACCAAGAACCCCTCAGAGGAGAACCTGGAACCTTGTGAAGCACTAGGTGTCGACACCCAGAGCTGCAACATGACTGAAAACTTGCAAGATGTCAGCAGAGTCCCCGAAAGCAAGCTCAGTGTTCATACCAACCGCACAGCCTTCAATTCGCAGGATCTTTTGGTTCCCTGGCATCTGAAAGGAGGGAAGCCACGAGAAGAAGAATCCTCCTTTGGAGCAAGCTCCACCCCTGAACCCCATCCAGGTTTTGACTCGAGCGTCTCTAGGTCAAGGCCAAACAGCAGGAAAACCAAACACGGCTCAGGCTCTAAACAAAATGGTGACGCTGGTCAGACTTCTGGCTGTAGCTCTTCTCCCGTGTTTCATCGCTACTATCATGTCTTCGAGCAGGGAGAGCTGGAGCAGCTGTGTGTGCAGGTCGACAAAGTCAAAGTGAAGACCAGCTATCACGACCAGGGAAACTGGTGTGTTATATTAGAGAAGGAGTGACAATTTGAATTACTTTGCTGCTAAAATGACTTAAAAAATAGACTTTGGTAATTAAACATTTAATGGAAAAAAATTGTAATAAATTTGAGAATTTTAACGAGTGTCTTACATTTATGACTTTGTAAAGGCCCTGTAAGTCATTAACTTTTTTGTGAATATTAAATATACCCTTTTAAATCCATCAACATCAACAGATTATTTGTTTTTCAGGAGTGTCTTTCTTCCAGACTTTCCTTATTTGTGTTCAGCTCTACTTACATTCAGCTTATTTTTCACCATGTGCCCAAATACATTCAGTTACTCATTGTATTTAATGTTGTCTTTTAGTCCTTTTACATATAATTTTCTATTGAATAGTCGTACTTTCAATTGTATTTTATGTGGTAATAGTGAAATGTCCTCAACATTTCTTATATTTTCTGTAGTAATTATCTGTGCAACTTATTACTAAACAAATACATTATAGCCTGTGTACTTTATTGAACATACTTTTTAAATCACATAAGCTGTCATTTACACTTTCTCATAAAGTCTGTGGATTTGATTTAAACTAAATGTTAAAACTCTATTTTGTATAAACTACAGTAGCATGTATTATGTAATTATATAATAATAGTATAAATAAGTTTAGTTATCATGGTTCTGTCTTTCAGCACTACAAGAACCACAAGCCAACAATTACCGTCAAACGGTGACGTTTTACGACATTTGACAAAATCATTTACGACAGTGTCATGGCAGCGTACGGGGTTAGTTTCGAGAGCTCCAGCAGTATCGAAGAAAAGAAAGAAAATAAGAGACAGGCGCGACAAGAGGCGCTCGAAAAGGTAAGAGCTGAGAGTTGTGAAACGGGGGCAACTCCATATATGCAAAATAATGCTTTTTCTTGCGTTATTTGAGGTTTTAATCCTCTTAGTTCCCCGAAAAATACGCTAACAAKCTAAGAAGGCTAACAGCATCGCTGTCGTCAAATGAACGTCTGGGCATCATGACTGGTTCAGATGGGTTTAGAGTGTCTGACACAGTTTCATTATGTCTTGGAAAGCTAATGTATGCTTTAACACGAGGCTGATAAATACTGTGTACCAGCGGATAAAGGCAGGAAATAGGAGACAAACACTGACGGGGACAGATAGCAGACCTGCTTATTTACGTTTGTATTGCGTTATTTACAATGCCCAGTTAAGAGATAAAGGTAGGCAGGCTGTTATAATCATATGTACACAGTTTTACAGTTGAGTGTTGTCTTTTGTAATTATTTGATAAGCAGCTTTATTTACAGCCTAACACGGACAGCTCAGTTGCTGGTTCCGGTAGATAAACTTAAAAACTATAAACACTTTATCTGCTCTGCTCACCTGTGCCTGATTGAACAAAGTAATGAAAGTGTAGATCTAATTATTTAAACACACACACACACACACACACACACACACACACACACACACAC